TTCTGTAGGGATAGGAGGATCTATTACTCTAACATCCAAATTAACAATGCCCAAGTCTTCCAAGCCATTAATCTTCATTGCGTGCAACATTGGGATCAAATTTTCATCATCTCTTGCATTCGAAGGATTTTGCATCAAAACCACATCACCATTAGTCTTGTTAACAACAAGGTCAACTGCGCCGCAAAAGAAATTAGTATGGGAGTTGATGTAAAATCCAATAGAATCAGCAATATTCTTAAATTCGATGCAACTGCTTTTCCTTATATTATATAGTTTTCTTTTCTGGGTAGGCATTGGTCTATTCCTCCTACCGTGTCTCTAGTTCACTCTCATTCTTAATAAATGGTAAGGTGTTCCCCAGCCCTTACCCCCATCCTATGATGGTTTACCACTGGGTAAAAAAAAAGACTAAGAATTAAAATAGCCCAGATTAACTATCTTGATATAATAACCGAAACTATAGAAGAGTATTCTCAAAATGCTGCAGTGACATATAGTAACCCGTAAATTGCTAATAAGATTTACGAGACAATGGACCATTTTGGATTTTTTTCAATAATTGAGATTATTTTTGTCAATTATTCCTAAATTAATATAGATAGGTCTCATTTGCCATAGTTGTTTTCAATTTACATTGACCTTGTGAATTTAAACACAATCATCATAATTTTCCCATTACAAAAAAAGATGTCTTAGATGCAAAGATAAGAAAATTACTCTAAGTTTTGCCCCTATGCATGATTTTTCTTATGTAGCTAAGAAGATTCTATCACTACCATTTTCTTCTTTCTCTTGAACACTTCATCTTTGTTTCACACACATTTTTTTTCAACCACTACTATATTAGGTAACCTAATTCTACAAATTTGGCAAATGATTTGTTCAAAACTTCAATCACATTAATTAACCAGGTGTGATTGATGTGAGGTTGTTACTGGTTACTCACACATCGGCGAGCTACGGGCTAACCAAGGCCCAACCCATCTCAAATTTAGAAAATACTTTATTTTTAGTGTAAAAAAATCTGTGTGACTTTTTTCTAAAAATGATGTTTGTACGGGCCTAGTCCAACCTATTGCCCTAACCCCGTCTCTGAACATACAAACTTTTGAGCCATTTTTGACTACTTACTTGACATCTTTATGTTGCTTACTTCTACAATTGGAACACACCGCTCTAATTAAGTAGAAATATTATAAAGTATATATGATTCCATAAACTCTTTATTTTTTACACTCCATTCACCGTCTTGCATGTGTTATTCAAGGCTGATCCTGCCCATTTCTGGGCCTATGGGTGATATATTATATTAGGCTTATATACCCAAGAGGCCAAGACTAAACTTAAACTATACATATTTAAAATATGAATTATAAAAAAATATCTAATAAAGGTCATAAATTAAAGGAAAAAACCACTTTACTATTATTTAAATTACATATTTGGACAAAAGTAACAACACAAGTATTACATAAAAAGAAAAAAACATTACTTTAAGGGTTTCTCGCGGAACATTGTGAAACAAAATCATCAATAATACTTTCTTAAAAGGAATAAAAAAACATTTAAAGCTAAAGAGATGTGGAGACAGGAGAGACATGTCTTTTATTGATTCAACAACAATTGTATTGCTTAAAAAAACTACAACTAGTTCTACCTAAAATTAACACTCCCCCAGTCCTAATTTGTAAGATATGTTTCCTATTTACTTGGTCAACATAAATCACTCTTAATCTTTTACTTTATATATCAAAATTTTATAAAATTTGAATTAATTTTTGCAGGCTTTGTAGTGGTATTAATGTAGTTTCTGAATATGTAAATTTTTTAATTTTTAAAATTAATTTGAGTGTTGATATGAATCAATTTGCTTTATCGTCGGTCAAACATCGTAAACCATAAAGTATCTTACAAATTGGGACGGAGGGAGTATATATTCTTTTTTTAAACTTGGCTTCGTTTAAAACTTTTTACTTATGTTCTAATTTTTTAAATTGTCAATAAATATTAAATATTAGACCTAATTAATTGAACTTAAATATAAAAAAGAAGCCGACTCACACTATATATAGAAAACAATTGTGCCTATTTTCTCTCTCTATTTTTTCGTGCCTAGGGCAGTCACCCGCCTTCCCCCGGACCGGCCGTAGTGTTATTTAATCGTAAAATTACATTACATTGTTGTATAATTGGATCTACAAAAAATTAAAATATAAAAGTTTATTCATTCATATAAATTAAGTAGCACAAGAAATGTAGACTATAGTCATTCAAATAAGTTACACTAAATGTCCATATCATGTTAAAGTGAGCGATTATGGTAATAATATTATAATTATTATGAATGGTTTATAATTATAATATTATAAACCAACTAGCTTCCGGTTTTGGTTCGTAGGTCCATCTTGGCGGATAAATTGCAACTCTCTTATATTAGGCGTTACTAATTCTCCGATTATGTTCTGTTATTTTGTTGTAGCTATGGGTAAGGTTCGGTCCCCCCATGGTTTTTTCTACTTTCCGTATTTCTTTTATTTTCGTCTCATGTTTTGTGGAAAGTATGCCTTCGGGAGAGGTTTTGGTCTAATCCCCCCCTCCGTTTGTATTCGTTCTCTTTATCATCAATAAAACTCGGCAAATGTTTCCCGACATTTGCCCCACTGATTTTGTTGATTTGCCTTCCGGGTTAAAAAAAGAATGTTTTTGTTTGGACTGCTTTTAATCATAATCATTAGACCAGACATAATAATCAATAATACAATACACAAACAATAGACGACGTTTACTGGAATAAAGTAATAAACTAATTAAAGTTAAACATGTCGGTCTACGTCATGCTAGACATGATTTAAATAGATTATTTTCGATCACAAAATTTTCGATTAAGTTAAAATAAACTTAGGTACGAGATGATATTTTTACTGAAATAGTTTTTGCATAAATAATTAAAAAAATTATGTCTTAGTTTTTAAAAAAGATGATGTAATCCGAAACCATAAAGTACACCCATTGACGAATTATTGTATATCCATGCTGCCATGTTTCATGGTGTGCCCCAATCTTTTTTAAAAGTTTAAAGTGCTGCCTATTTTTAAACTAAAACGATAAAAATGGTTACAAAGAAAGGTAGAATTGGGCATTAAACATCTTTTTGTTTGGATTTACTTTGATTGCTGACCATATATACTAGACAAAATCACACCAAACTAGATTTAAATAGACCGGATCAAGTTTGATCAGATCATATTTAATAGACCAGATTAATCCAGAATAGTCCTGAAAAATTTGAGTCCAATTAAAAATGTTTTAAAGGGGCCCACCTTTCCAATTTGTTGAATAGATTGCTATAATAAAAAATATTTTTTTTTTATAGAATTTAACTTTTCAGAACCAAATAAAAGGAAATTGGTCATAATATGATTAGACCTTTATAGAGATTACTATCAGTCCATGATTATTCTATTCCGGACTCTCTCCATCACTTAAAATTTTTTCATTTTTAATTTTTCAGGTTAATGATGACAAAGTTTGGATAATGATTTTGATTAGTATAGTGACACGGAAGTTATAAATTTTATGAATTTAAAACTTTTAGGAAAGTATTTATAACAGATAACATTTCTATATCATTTTAATATTATAGGTAGTTTCATATAAAGATACATCTTGTTCAAAATTTAATTTGGTTGATCAAAAATGACAAAATTTTAACGAAGGGAGAAAACATAAGTTAGTGGTAATTCTAGCGCATTGATCGGTAATTTATTAATATAATGTAGATTTTTGAGTGGTAAATGATGAATGATGAACTAGAGCACCACTAAAGCACAAAGCACTAATGAACATATTCATACATATATATAGACCTGTCACTGGTTCTAAATTGAACCGAAACCAAACTGCCAGTTCACGGTTTCAAATTTTAGGGAAGCAAAACTACACGGTACCGGTTCTAAAATCGGCGGTTCTAGTTTCAAACCGGTTTGGTTCTGGTTCCATTTTTATTTTTTAGATATTAAAGTTTAGTATTTTTAAAAAAATGATTTTTTTTAATATTAAAAGAATAAATATATGTCATTTTTAAAACTAAGTACAAAAAAAGATAGTTTATAGTTAAATAGTTATAAATTAGATTGCAAGATCCTACAATCTATTATTCTAAAGTAATTTAGTTATTAAATAATTATGGATACTTACTGCTAACAGTATTAACAGGAAAATATTTTAACTAGTACAATAGAAAAATTAACAGTTTCAATAGAAAAACTATGGATACTTATTATTAAGGGGCAGTAACTAGTAACTATTATAATTGTTATTTCTATTATTAGTACAATTAATACTATTATTATTATTATTATTATTATTATTATAATTATCATCATTATTAATATTATGCAGGTCTGGCTGTGATTCAAAAACCGGTGATTCCGGTTCCAGTTTAACCAAAAACCACAACATGTCTACTTGATATGTAGGAGAGTAATCTCTAGATTTGGGCGCCGGAAGAGAGGGCGATCTACACACTCATCATGAATGCCCTCTATCCCATATAAATTTGTCATCCTTCTTTGTTGATTATCTAAAAAAAATTCATCACTTTATCTTGTAAGATTAACTTGTGTCTTTTGATTTCTATTAGAAATAATCGGGTGTATATACAACTTTAAATGGGTGCAGTGAAATTAATGTCACAAGTTTATATAAATAAAACATATAGCCTATTAGATTAAAATGAAAGTAGGAATATCTCCTAAAAGATCAGTGGTATCCAGTTAGTGCTTTTAAGAGAATAGTCTCGTGCCTATTTGTTTATAGAAGAAATATGATATGGATTTAAATTATCAAAAGAGGAGCTATTCTTTGAACTCCTATTTATACATGCTATGTAGCTATTTAACCTTTCTATTATTTCTCTTTTAATCGTACAATTTTTACTCTATTGTTCTTTTTAATATTTGAACTTGACAAAGTTATAATATATTTTTATTTATAATAAAATTTGTGAAAGAGATTACAAAACAACCTTTAGTTCCCTATAGTCCGTTCATCTTCTCCGTTCTACTTCTACTCCTCTCACGCGGTCAGCCGGTCACTCCTCTCCGTCATCTGCTGCGGGCCTGCGGCGGTAAGCAGCCAAGAGGACGGCGGCCAGAGAAACTCCAGGTCTCCAACAAGAAGGACGGCGGACAGGACTGCATCTCAAACCACAGTGCAACTCCAGGTCTCATCCAGGTAAATTGAACACTCCCTTCTTGATATACTATCTTTCCAAACTATATTCGATCATAGTTTTAGATTGTCGTCTCTTCAACTCTTGGCAAATCAGTTTATCCATTGATAATGGATCAATAATTCTTGATTGATTTGTAAAGGTTTAAACTTGATAAATTAATTGTTAATTCAACTAGGTGTGTTCCAGTATAATTCAACTTTGAGATTGGCTGGCTGTCTCGTTAATCAAATCAAAATTCTGAATATTTTTATGTTTTCATCACAAACGATTTGATTTTGTTTAGCTAATTTGGTTTACTTTCTACACGTTTCAGATTGATAGTCTATTTTTTAATGAAATCAGAAAATAATTACAGAAATGTAGCTTCTTTTGTAAAAAAGCATCTGTAGCGGGCTAGCTCACTGAATTGATATCTGTATTTGTAGAAATCTCATAATCTCAGAGATGCTTTTTGCTTTGTCTTTTAAGCCGGATCTATAATGTGTTGGTAAGGATCTCTCCCCTGCCTATTTGTTTGGAGGGCTGACAGTTGCTTGTCTCGCTCAGCCCCTACTTAGCTTTCTGGTAGGCATCGGGAATTTCTATTCTGAATTCTCACTCACTCATGTCAATGTCAAATCCCCCTCAAAATGCAATTCCAACTCGGCCAAAGGGCAGGTGGTATGTATTTAGATCCATCCTGATTGTTGGATTGAAATGAAAATTCGACTTTATGCGAAAAACAATATAATCCAAAATATTTATTCATTACTAACATAAACAACCACATTTTACTACTGGTTTACTTTCTACACGTTTACATACTGGTTTACTTTCTACACATTTCAGATTGATAGTCTATTTTTTTAAATGAAATCAGAAAATAATTACAGAATGTTGTTGTATTTTGCAAAATGTTTAATGTTGTTATGCTTGTCACTTGAGAGTCCAGAATGTTGTTGTATTTTGCAAAATGTTTAAGAATGCAGCTTGGTTTAAAAAAGAGGCGCGCAAAGGCACGAGGTGCCTCTGGGCGATGACTTCATTGCATCCAAACATCCCAGGCGCAGCAGATTCTATAAGGCGTGCCTTTTACATCGCCTAGTCCCGCCTTTTGCGCCTCTTGCTTTTCCATGAGTTATAGTAAACATTTTATCCACCCTCTTGCTTTTCGACCGTCGTTTTTCTTCATTCAACAGAATAAAATATCTGCAGCTTTGTTTTCTCTGTTCCTCTTTGTTAAATCCCTAGCTTTTCTTCATGAATGAAAGATTCCCTTTCCCAATGGTATAAGCTTCCCCCCCTGGATTAGTGATACTATAACTCATCTCATTAGCACTGCTCAGATTACTGATTCTTGGTTTGAATGAACCATATTGTTAATATTTATGGAAGTGTTGAAATGTTTTGCCTCCAATGTGTTCGATGAAATTCCCAAAAGAAATGTAAAAATCAGTTTTGTTGTTAATGAATGAGTTGTGGCTTAATAAAACCATAAGTTCAGTATGGTGGTTGCCATTTGCCCAATGAAGATGTAATTATTTAGCGGTTTGCTTTTACACAAATGTAAAAATCAGTTTAGTATTCCAGAATTTCTTACAGAAAGGCTCATTACTAGTTACTACAAACTTTGTAATTTTGTATATAGATTGTATTTCATTAATCTACCATTTTTGCACGTGTGTATTCAAGTACATTTGTTAGTATTGACAGCGTAATTAATAAGGGAAATCATTTAAGATTTACTCCCCTTTATTCATAAGAATCTATAATGATATAATGATGGGTTAATGTTGAATTCATGATGCTCTTTATTGTTCACCTGAAAATCATTCGTTTAGGATTTATATTTACTTAACTATATGCATAAGTATTAGTGTTCTTTAAAACCCAGGGACGCGAGAGCTGCCATAAGAGACCAATAACATAACAATGTTCATATTACTGATATGCTCACCTTTATACTTTCATGAATAAATGAGTATGTTGGAATTTTTGTACGTTGGAATATGTATGTTGGAATTTTTACTAACATCTTTTTACTATTTCAAGAAGTGATAGCATTGTTTTCCCTTTTTTGTAATATGTACGTTAGGAATTTTTGTTAGTGTGAAAATATTCTCCATGATGACACTTTTTTATGTTTAAGGAAAAAAGTTAAATAAATCAAGTCCAAAAATGTCTTAATATGTCTTATGTCCAAATCCACACAAATCTAGACAAATCCATAAATGTCTCAAATGTCTTCTAAAATCTCATATTTTATAAATGTCTACAAAAGTCTCAAATGAATACACCTCCCTAAATTTTCACTTCAATGACCAGATGCTTAACCAGTGTTTATTAAACCTTCTCCTTCTGTAGGGTTTTTCATCCTTCTCCCGCGCACTAAAAATGACTAAGCTGAGGAAGCTGAATCGCCCTACGGGTCATCGACTGTCCATGCTCAGGTTATTATGTAACATAAATTCTTCATTTTTGATCAACGGGCTCTGTTCTTTTTCCCTTCCTGAGTAATAAGTTTTCAACCGCTTACAGGACAATGGTGTCGCAGTTAGTCAAGCATGAGCGCATAGAGACTACTATCGCTAAAGTATTCTCATTTTACTCAACCTCTTCAAATTTCCCGTATCATTTTCAAAAGAGCTTTCTTGAATAGAATTGCATTAGTCAAGTATTATGATTTATTTGTCTTACTGATTACTTACTAAGATTATAGACAATTTTTCCTTTTCTTGTTATTGTTTTTGTGGGAGGGCGGGGTGCTGTCTAACCAGGTATTGGGCGCAACTAATTGTGCAACATTAGTTCTATTATTCTTATCATCTTTTCTTATCATCTTATGGCTTATTGTAGGCTAAGGAAGTTCGTAGGCTTGCTGATAATATGGTGCAGCTGGGAAAAGAGGTATGCAATTATGCATGATGATATAGTGATTGATTCAAAGTGTATTAGGTCATTTGTGACAATTAATGTGTTCAAATGGGGTTAGGACTTAGGAGTGCATTCATTGGTACCTAAACATTTCCACATCCTAGATCACTCATTATATTAGGATTGGAATGTGATAATGTCTTAAAAAAGTAGGAAGTTGTATTGAGGGGTGACACAATGCACCCTTAACCCAAGTAGTTAAATCGCTACTCGGTGGCAACTTGGACAAGGGCTGAGTAGCGAGTACAGCCGAGCACTCAGATTACTCGTGCGGTCGTGCCTCTGTTAATTAAATTCGAAAACATAAATGCCTCCTAAAATACATAACAGTTATTTGTAAATTCCACAATATCCCAGTTTAGCTTTACATTTTCAGATTTAACCCCCTAAAAATCAATTTACTGCATTTGGAGTAACTCGATGAGTATACCTTGTCACCAAGTAGAAAATGGAACAAATGAACAATGCGTGTCAAAATACCAATCAGCAAAGCGCTACTCCTAGTAGTGAGTACTCGGCGGTTGGAGAACATAGCCAGTTACTAAGAAGTAAGAAACCGTTGTCTAGATTAGAGTACTTAATGGGACTAACACGTTTTTTCTTTCTAATTTGCTCTCTTTTTATGATCATTTTTGGAACCCGTTCAATGGGATTGGAAGGAAATGAATGATTAGGAAAATAAATTTTTAATGCTTGCATTTACATTAGAAAATAAAATCTGAAAATCAAATTCGGTAATAACTTTTTCTGATTCAACAGTTATTTAGGTTTGTTAGTGTCAATATAATAGATACGCATAGGTAAAATAACTTTTTTGAAGTTCTAACAAATATCTGAAACTGATGTATTTAGTTTGAAACTTTTTTTATTTTCTTTCAAATTTTATTCCCTCTGAGACCGGCTATCTTTCCAACATCCATACAGACCCTAGGGGTTTATGGTTTTTCACGATGGGCAATCATCTTCCTATATTATTGAAATCTGTCCATATTTTTAGAGGATGTTTCTTCATTAGGTAGATTACACGAAACTAAATAATGTTGAGTACCATCTCACCACGTTCATTAGTTCCTGTCTATTGAAGGATCTAGTCATCTAACAATAAACAATTGCCTCCAGCTCAAATCCATCATAGAAAAATCAGTTGTAGTATTCTTATTTGAAATGCTAATTATTTTCTAATTCACTGTGGCATGTTTGGATCCAAGATAATTCCATGTAAAGAAAATAATCATTTTCTAATTATTTTCTTATTCACTGTGGTATGGTTGACCAGTCAGACTGCACTTTTCGTGAAGAGCCCTAAAAAGCAATGCTTTTAGAGCTTAAGTGAAGTGACCAAAATGCCCAAAAGCTACGCTTTCTCATGCGCTGTCGCTGGGTAAAAGCTAAGGCCCAAAGACTCACTCGCTTGCACTTTTGCTATTTTGCGCATTTGGTCGTGCATTTAATAAGTCTTTTCCTCCCAAATTTCTTTATTTTCTCCTACATTTCCTTTCCTCCCAAATATCCCCTGTATTTTTGTCTCTATTTTCTTCATCAGTTTCCCTAGCATTTCTGAATTTTCAAATGGACCCCTAGTGAATGCCAGTATTCCTATTACTTAATGTTTACTACCTCCACCATCATCATCATCACCCCAGTGCCGCAAAGGCTCCCACCTATAGTGGGGTAAGGGGGGTCGGATGTACGCAGTCTTTCCCCTGTACTAAAGCACAAAGAGATTGTTTCTAGACGACCCATAGTGAAAATCGCGTCGAAAATTGCATGGACTGACTGCTGCTTTGTAAGAAAGAAGCCCAGATAGTTTAGTGAGCCATTTTGTTTTATTCCATCATATTCCCAAGCCAAAAAAGAGTGAGTCTTTGGCTTCATTGCAAATGATGGAAATTTTCGCCAACTCAGAAAATTTTGCCATTGGGCTTTCTTGGTTAATTGTGGTAAACTTTGGCAACTGATTTTAATTAGTGTACTTTTATAAAAGTACACTAATTATGATTGGTGAAAGTTTAACAATATTGACCAATAAAGTCAGAGATGGTGAAATTTTGTGGGATAGAATTTTTTTCATTTGTCACCCTATGTTACGGAGTATATGAAGAAGGGCTTCATTTTTTCTGCATACATGTTCCATTACCCTGGATTCCGCACTTTGATATACATATTATCCAATGCTCTTAACTTTCTTTAATGAGATATGGATTATATCACTTCCTCCGTGGAACTATTTTATCCAGCTCAAACTTTGCACAAACTTTGCAGGGTACTCTGTGTGCTGCAAGGCGTGCAGCTGGCTTTGTGCGCGGTGATGATGTTCTTCACAAGCTGTTTACTGAACTGGCATATAGATACAGGTGAAAATATATGGATTTTTTAAACTGCCACTAGCTCTCGTTTTATTTTACTTTATTTTTATTAAGGTTTTGCTGAGGTGCCATAACATCTCCATGGTCGTAACTTGCAGAGAAAGAGCTGGTGGATATACAAGATTGTTAAGAACACGTATTCGAGTTGGTGACGCTGCTCCTATGGCGTATATTGAGTGAGTTTTATCTACCGAATTTGTGCTTTGCTCATGAACCAATTGGCTTTTAGTTTTGATTGAATTTCCCAAGGAAAAGAAGACAACGAAAAAATGGATTGCTAACAAGATATGCTATGAATAGGACCTTAATGGAAATTGTTCAGCATTTCTATTAATTTCTACCGTTCGGGATGATAACGAATTTGCAAGTTGTTTGTTTTATGATTTTAAAAATTTTGATATGTGTATATATATTATATACATATGTTGTATAATAAACCCAAACTAATTGTATTTTTGTAAACTGTGGATAACAAACTGCATATCACTTCCAGGTTTGCAAATTCGAGTTTTCTAAACATATGTTTACTGAAAAATTGCCACCATCCCAAACCAGTCCTAGTTTTAGCTGACAAATTTCTATTTGACCCTTTATAGGTTCATTGACAGGGAGAATGAACTTAGACAATCAAAACCGCCCACCCCACAACCACCACAAAAACCAGCCATGGATCCATGGACAAAGTCCCGGCTCTGCAGGCAGTTTGCACCCCCTAAAGAGGATAATAGTTCCGACTCCGAGAATTGAAAACATTAGTAACATATCGAGTATATGGAAGAATTTCTCTCCTCTGGCAGTTTGTATTGCCAAATCTGTTACTCCCTTCATTCCAACATGTAAGTGGTACACCTGCGCTTGCAAGCTTTTTATGAAAATAAAGATCATTCTTTTTATGATACAATTGTAATCTTGTTGATGTAAAAAAGATTGGTATGAGTACTGGAAAAGTAACAGATGAAGTTATAGACAAAATGATTAACTGAAAAAGTAGAAAGCTAGTGTAACTAAAACAGAAAATGCTTGTGGAGCTGATGTGGACACGGTTTTATTCAATTTTTAAAAAATTATAAAAAAGACTAAATACACAATATCATATTAGGAATAAATGATTTTATATCCATGTTGTTTGAATAGTTTTATTTATTTTTGTTTGAGATCACTATCGGTTTAATTATATCTATATTGTTCAAGTTATTTAGGAGAATGTGTTACACTATTACTTTTTAATATGTGGCGTGTTGAATTGCTTAAATATACTAATAATTATTGTTCAATATTGAATTGACATCAATATATTATTAATTGTATTTCGTAACATTTAAATAATGATTTAATATGTCGCTAGTAATAACGATTTAGTATATTTCGTTAGTCTATGATAATTTTTTGTATTGGGAGACATGCACGGTAATTTACTGATACCGTACCGTTACCGAACCGAAACTTCGGTATACCGAAATGCGGTATACCGAAACTTCGGTAAGGTAAAGGTATGCAAATTTTGCATACCGAAAGTTTTGGTACGGCAAAGGTATGAAAAAAAATATAAGGTATACCGTACCGAACCACCCCTAGTCCTGCCTGGTAGGTGGACATGGCTGATTTAAGTGATTTTGGCTAGGATTGGAGTTTTGGAGGCTGTTCCAGTCCCCTATAACGTACAACGTAAATTGGCGAAATTGGTCTGGTTCTAGATAGGACACAACTGTGGTTCTGGATAAAATTTTGATTTTAGATCGTCTCTTCTCCGATTTCTTGGCCTATAACAAAATCGTTGCTGGAATTGGTTGATACGGTCTTATTTGGAGGAATGCATTTAAATGGATTCCGAGTTTAAATGAATTAGAAAAGTGGTTTTAGTTTGTGTAGAAAATCCCAGCCGTCCCAGTATAAAACTAGTGTTCATATTGAGTTTTGGGTATCGGTTTCGGAGTCAGATCAGGCTGTTGGGCTTTGAACACATTTTGTTAAGTATTGTTAGTAAATAATAGGGTGCATTACAAAATTTACAATTGGTTTGAGTAGCATTCTGATCGTGATTTTTTCTTTTCTAGGATGGGGGATCATGACTTAATTCCTTCAATTTTTATAAGCCAATTGCAATATGTAAGTAATGGGGCCCGATGGATCATGTCTTAATTCCTTCGTTTTTTATAAGCCAATTCCAATATCGGAGTATCGCACAAACTTATAACCTAGTCATTTTAATTACAAAACTTTAGTCATGTTTAAAGTAATTGTTATCTTGTGAAGCAGTTCTTCATAGAGGACTTGACGGGGGGCTAGAGTCTGATTCAGATGATGAACTCTCACTGCTTCTTGTCCGCTTCGGGGAAGTAACTTCACTTATGGGTGAAGAAAACTTTCGGGCCATCTCTTGCGCAATTCGAAATCCATCCATCGCACCGGGAGTAGTTCTCGAAGATGATTGCGCAACCATGATTCTTGATCGGCTCATAGTGATAGGACCTTGCATGTCTTGATTCGAGCTTGATGACGCTCTAGAATTCATAGTGAACACGGGCTTGCTTGACGCCATTAGTTCGTTTTTCCTTGATCAAAAGTGAAGAGATGCGAGGTAGAGTCGTCTCACCGGGCGTGCCAAATAATAATATATGAGAATATTGGTATTTACTTAAAATTGGTTGTAAATAATAATATATGAAAATATTGGGTATAATCTCTAAATATGAATCCTTTGATTCTTCACTTGCAATTTGAAATGAATATAATTAAAGAATTTAATTTAAATATAAATCTCTAATTCTTCAAATATCCGAACGGATCTTCAAATCTTCGTTCTTCGGATCTTCAAATCTTCTTGAATAAAGAATTCAGCTTGAAGGACCTCCGGTTTTCAAGTGGCTTGATCTTCAACAAAAGGACCGTTTTATAGCTTGATTTTTTGTTTAAGGGCCTCCCGGGATATATGGCTTGATCTTCAATTGAATCTTGATTCAAACTTCATATGAATATCTTCAAATCTTCATAGATTCGTTCTTTATATCTTCGAATCTTCAAAGCATTATTCTTGAGGTCTTCGAATCTTTAAGCTTCGTTCTTCAGATCTTTGAATGTTCTTCAACTTTTGAATTTATTTTATCAAGAATGAACAAAATCACAAAGGATTATTTGTATATTCTTAATAAAATTCGTGGCTTGATCTTTTCATCTTCTTCAGAATCGTTCAGAGCCTCTCGGGAATTCTTCAAAGCTTTTCTGCAGCGTTTCTTCGTCTAAAAGTTCTCCCCCTTTTCTCAAATGGGACCCCTATTTATAGGTGTGGAGGGGGTGAAAATATGCTTTAGGGTTTAGTAATTTCTTCCATATCACTTGGGCTTAAATTAAAATAGGCTTCAACCTTCAGACTCTATTTGCTCTAGAAAAATCAGCACTTGTCAGATGTATCTGGACAACTTTTTTAACAAGGTTCACAGCCATTTTCCATTCATATGGTACTATGGTAGGATTTCTTAATCAGATTCGATGTCTTCTTCATAAGTTGGATCATGCCTCTTATTCATTGGGCTAAAAATGGAGAAATTAATAAAACCCGTCCATTCTTTAAAAGACTTAATTTATAATCAAATTAATATTTGGACATTTTAAATAATCCAAATTAATTTAATCACTAATTTCTTCTCAATGGTCCACACCACTATGGCACTATCTCTTTAGGCTTAACAACTATCATGGGCAACTTAGTAGATTCTGACAGTGGCCCGGTATCATTCAGATTAGGCCCAATATGATTGAGAATAGCCCGGTAGCATTTATATGTGTTTAATAATATTACAAACCGTCATAAAATATTAGGTCCAAAATATTAACTAATTTTCAATATCCAAAACCCTACCAAGTGTACTAACTTTAGGGAGGAAATGATTCAAATCCTTTCAAATCTCAAAAGCTGCATATATTTGATTACAAATACAAAGATTAAACAAGTTCGTCTTTCTAATTGGTAATTTTGTATTCTACCACACAATAATTTATGCATGTCGGAACTCGGAATCGATTTTATACAATTCCACTAACTAAAATGAGTTGCAAACTTACAAGGTGCTAATTTAACTCAGGATATAGTTTACCGGATTTTCTTGGGTTTGTGGCATTTTAGCTTGGAAATGAGGAAATGAACCCGACATCCGCGTTTGAGGTTTTATATGATAATTAGAGACACTTCTAAGTTCTAAGGTCATTTATGAAGAAAAGGGATCCACCATAGTACCATACTCGAGAAGGCCATTTGTGAATAAGAAAGTTAAAAAATTGAGGGTAGTTACATATGTGGTCGCGAGTGCAACATATTGTGCAACGTCATGTGCGCATTTGAGTTTCTGTTGTGTGCACAACGTCGCGTACATGCCATGTGCAACATCGTGTGCGTGTTAGGAGTTACTTTTGGGCTCAATCAGAACAATTTGTCACGCACACGGTCGTGCGCACTACCATGGGCACGATAGTGTGCAGCCCAAAAACGATCAAATTTGATATTTTTCTATTTAAACAAGCTTTATGTTACACCCACATTTTCTTACCCACATTACTTACTATAAATAGTAATTTTAGTAATACATTTTTCCTAAAATTGTCAAGTTTGAAATAGATTGTTTGTTTATTCCGGAATACACAAAGTGACATAAGTTACAATGTCATTTTCTAACCATGATAGGGATGATTTTACTTGGACAATTTTCAGTCCCAAACCAGATCAGATTAGACTTAAACAAACCATACCCCCTTTTGTATTAATAGTGGGTTTAGTTAACCTCGATGTGAGTTGTAATGGGGGTTATATTAAAAAAAAGAATCAAAACAGATCGATTTTGGTCCTGTTCTGAAGGAACTAGAATCAGTTGAGACCGGTTCCAGTTCATAATGGAAAAATGGGCGCCAGCGGTCGAGCCCTTTTACCCACCCATTCCGGTCTAATTTCGAAACCATGTCCAGCCCTATTCGACAAGATTACATGGCTCATTTGTATCTGGTGTGCTACTAGTAGAATGGCTTTGATATGATTGGATGTGGTAGACAATTTACGCTCGATGGACTCATGATCACCCTAATGTATCCAACAAACATATTATTTTGATTGTTTACAGGCATGGAGCAACAAACACTGCACATAGACAACATAGTGCACATGTAACACTTGTTTATTTACTTATTTTTATTTATTTATTTATTTATTAATGCAATAATATTCTTCATCAAGAGGATACAAAGAGCAATGTGCAAGATGTAAACAAGGGTCACTTGTCCATCCAGATGACACATCTTACGCTTTTCCCTTGGAGTAGTAAGTCAAAAGCTGTGTTGATGTCTTCAAAATTCACCTCGTGAGTCACGAATGCATCTAGTTGTAGCTCCTACACAAATAGGAACATGGCCAATATTAGGTTGAGTGCGAACAGTAACAGTAGTGAATGTAATCCCGAGGTTAGTGTAGTCGACCTTAGTTGGAGCAGACTCAAGGGGTCTTAACGTCTGTGTGTTCATTTTTATAATTTTAACATGATAAAGTTGTTCGTTAGAGCTTAATGAACTCGTTGCAAACCTAAGTCTAGAAAGTTAAAGGGAAGCTTAAGAAAGAAAGTAGTATTGTATGAAAAATTGCGGAGGTTTGGTTCACTCAAGCCGCGGAGTATTGGAAACAAGCTATTGCGATTGTTTCCTGAAATTCGACTCCTACAAGAGTCGCAACAGAGGTACTCATTCATGTACAAGGATGAGACTAAGTTGCATGTGCGAGACGTTTCCTGAACGTTCATCATGTGTGACATATATTCCTAATTCCCCATGGCAGGAAGGCCTTTCTAAAGGTCTCTCTCTAAAGCTGCAGGGTGAGCCCACTTGGTGATCCTCTACTTTGCTATTATGTTATGTACTAAGCTTGTTCCCTTGATGTCTGTTTGTGTTATGCTATGCGTAGTGGAAGTCGAGGCTGGAGGTGGCAGCCCAGGCTGAGCCCTGGGAGGCCAAGGCCAGGGTCAGCTACCGAGGCCCAAGACAAAATCATTGGGCCCAACTTGACTATGTCTGGTCCAGAGACACAGGGACATTATGAGCCGCAGTCTAAGCCAAATGACTGCAAGCTCAGGAGTCCAAGGCCATATATTCCATATACTCCAACAAAATTCACAGTTTTACTCTATAAAACCGTGGAGAGTTTTACTTTGTACTTATTGATGTGGGATGAATTAACAATTTATGTATTTATTTATTTACTTATTCTAAATAAGGGTTTTCCTGAATTACCCCATCTTTGTAACGCTGGGCAAGGATGGGTATATCAGATTTGGGTTTGAGACCACCAAAGAGAGACCCCATGAGGCTTTTGCCACTGTGAAGAACATCAAAAGATTGGAAGCATAATTGTGCCCCGGGCTTATCAACTCCTACTACCACTGTCTTCCCCCAACCCTGAAATTTCAATTAAACGCCTCAGACATTGGAACCGAATTTCACAATATACAAGTTAGACCTGCACAAAAACGGGTTTGGGCCGGGCTTTTTATAATTTTTTTGCCCATCATGTGTGGGCGGGCCCGGCCCGGCCCGCAAAAACAGGCCTAACCCCATGTCCATACCCGCCTGTAAGAGCGGGCCAGGTAGTCCACCGGGCCACCCGTCCCGGAAAAACTTTAAATTTTTCTAAATTATATAATTTTTTTAATACTTTAATAATAATATTACAACATTTAAAAAATTCTTAATACGCTTATAATGTTTATAGGTCTTTCACCACATACAAAAATAATACTTACACAAAAATAATTCTGAGAAACTATATCTAAAATTTAAAATTCAAGCACAAAATATTATCTTTAAGTACAAAAATAGATACTATATTAGTTGGGCTAGTTGTTAATAACTAAAAACTTAAATTTAAACATAATAAACTATAAATATGTATAAAGATATATATTTTTTTGTCACCGAACAGAAAACTTATATTAATAAATCATTTGCCAACTGGCTACAAATACAATCAGTACTAAAAAAATGATCTGAGAGATTTGCAATCAGTACTAAATACAATCAGTATAAATACAATCAGGGATAATATTAGTACTAAAAAAATGATCTGAGAGATTTACACGTGACCGTGCCAAATAAATTATATTAGTAAATATAAGGGAAAACTATCAAATAAGCTTTTTAAAAAAATCAATTAAACCCCCCAATTGATATTTCGTTCAATCAAACCCTCAAACTCATTAAAAATGGCAAATCACTCCTTTTAACCGGTGATGAGCTGTGTTAACCGGCTGTGTGTCACTTTTCCTTTTTTTTAAAATTTTTTCCTCTATTTTCCTTCTCCTCCGCCCTTATCCTTCCGCTCTCCCATTCCAGTTTTGTTTCTTTCTTTCTTTCCCGTCAATTTCTTCATCACACATTCCCTTCTCCTTCCCATAGTTCTCTGCTAGCTGCCTTGATTTCCCTTTTCTTTGTTTTCTATTTACTTTATTTCTTTTCCTTCCCTCTTTATTCCCTTGTTATTTTCTTCTTCCCCTGTATTGGAACTTGGGTTTCTTCTGGCTTGAATTTCCAACCCGACGGTGCAGCTTCATGTCTTGAACAACCAACGCTGCAACCCAACTTCACCGTCGGCGATGAGGACTTCCATTGGTCAACCATGGCGGTGAGTCCATCCGCTTAGCCACTGCATTGCATCCATCACCTGGTTACGCAGGACGATGTATCCATCTGGTCTACCAGAATGCGAGGAGATCCGGAGGAAGCAAAAGCAAAAGAAAACTAAAGAAAAAAGAAATAGGAAAACAGCCACTAGCCGGTAACACGGTTCATTACGGGTTAAAAAATCTATTTGCCATTTTTCAATGAGTTTGAGGGTATGATTGAACCAATTTTCAGTTGAGGGGTTTAATTGATTTTTTTGAAAAGTAAAGAGGCTTATTTGATAGTTTTCCCTAAATATAAATATACATGTGTACATGTAAATAAATAAATAAATTAGTATATATATAGAGGAAACTTCATGTCCAGCCGCCTGACAGGAACCGCCATCCGGCCGAGGGCATTTCGGGCACTTCCCGGTCGAATTTTTTGATGAAATTGTTTCAGTATGTTTTTCATCAAGTCTAGTTTATCCATACCAAAGTTCAGCTCAAAATTCGATCGGAAAGGCATTCAAATCATTTTTTGAAGTTGACTGCGTTTTTATATGTATATTTTGACGCAGTCAACTTCAAAAAAGGATTTGAATGCCTTCCCGATCGAATTTTGAGCTGAAATTTGGTATTTTGACTTGATGTCTAACATGCTCAAAAAAATTCATCAAAAAATTCGATCGGGAAGTGCCCGAAATGCCCTCGGCCGGACGGTGGTTCCCGTCAGGCCGGCTGGTCAAGAACGGGACTCTATATATATATATATATACACTAAATGTAGTGGGCCGGGCTTATCGGCCCGAACGGGCCTACACCCTAACCCAAGCCCGCCCATATGTTATTGCGGGCCGGGCTTGGCTCAGCCCGGTGGGTAAATATGTCCAAGCCCACCCATTTGTGCGGGCCGATTGGGCGGGCCGGGCCGGTTTTGTGCGGGTCTAATACAAGTTATGCATACAAAACATGTTAAGGGGCAACCTTTCTGCAGCAGGCATATGCTTCCTGGACTAGTGTTGCCATGCCCACACATTCAAAGCAATAGTCTGCACCACCCTCAGTCATCTCCAATATCACCTGCTCGTCAAAACAAAAGTTTCAGAATTACTGATTATTCTCCAATGCGACTTCAACAAGAGATTCTTGTTTTTTTAATATATAGCTTTATAATACATTCACAGATCATGCTTTAGTATAGGTGGGATCCTTTGCGGCACTAGGGTAATGTTGTTGTTATTATTATGGCTGTTGTTGTTTTGTTGTTGCATTCACAGGTTAGAAACTATACCTGACTAATGGGTTTATTCCCACAAGTCGAAGAATCTACAAAATCAGTAAGCCCAAATGTTTTACCTGCAAGAGGGAATTGATATTAGATTCATGATGGGGTCAGGTCACTCAACTATGAAGGTCAAACCACACTAAAATAGAATTTGAACAAGATGAAAGAAAGATGGAAATAAAATGTCTTGACGAACCAATCTTGAATTTATCTGGATTTATATCAACACCTATAATTCTTGTGGCACCACAAAGCCTGGCTCCCTCTGCAACCTGCAAATCAAGCACCTCAATGAAGTCACACGGAAAAGAAGAAGTGACCAAACAAAAGCAGGAGTACCGCTAATCCAATGGCTCCCAACCCAAAGATAACAACAGTTGATCCTGGTTCCACATTTGCTGTTCTTATAGCAGCACCTAATCCTGTCAAAAAAGTGCAGAAAAAGTTGCACATTGCAATTCAGCTCCCAACGCATCATAAACGTACGTGTTTCTTTTAACTACAAAAAACAGTGGAACATACCTGTCGACACTCCACAGCTAAGGAGGCATGCCCGGTTTGGTGGGATGCTAGGATCAATTTTTGTGACATTAGCAATGTCAATAACAGTGTACTAACTGAAACTTGATACGAACAGGAAATGGTGTAAAGTCTCTCCTTTGAGGTCAGTGAATCGGCTTGCTTGATCTCTATGTAGAAAAGGAGAGATGCTCATTGGAAATTTTGTACAAAGATTGCTTTTCTTGGATTTGCAGTCCACACATTCTGCACAGTCTGCTAAAAATAATGGAATAACTGAATCTCCTTCTATTAACTCCTTCACATCTTCTCCCACACTCTCTACGACCCTGAGATTAGTACACATTGAATTACTAGAAAGCAAAATCGCAAATGAAGCTGTAAATGCTCTATAGTGACTAATATGAATAATTGAATATTCCACAGATATCCATTGAATAATAAAGAGTTTAGCACTATGACATGCCAAACTACCAAAAGAATCACAAGTGTGGGTCATTTATGTTGCAGATAAAAACTTAGGATGTACTGGAATTACCCAAACGCTTCATGACCCAAGATTCTTGGAAAACACGCTGGATATTGCTTGAGTGAGAAATCAGAAACAAAAACAAATAGAAAACAAAACAAATCGTATTAGAGAGTTGCTTTTAAAAGACATAGTATAAACATTGAAATAATGAAAAATGCATGACGAGAACAAAAATAAGGGACACAAGTATGACTTTTAGTACACAGTGACCACATTGATATTTTTGCAGTTGCTATAGTGACCATAGTAATGTTCAATTTTACGCTATAGGTGTTTTTAGCGGTGGCATAGTGACCATGTAGTCATATTTTTGTCCATGACTTCAATTTTAGTAATATTATAGGAAAGACCTCATAAATATTAGCAAAAAAATTACTTGCAGTTTCCAGAAGGTAACATCGCTATGACAGAGAGAAGTGCAGATAATCTTGATGCGAACTTCATGGGATTTGGGAGGAGCCACAATCACCTCCTCTATCACCAGCGGCTCCCCAGCTTTCCTTGCCACCGCAGCTATACCATATTCGATGAAACCATAGACTTATGAGTACACGCATGACTATATCAGTCACATGGTAGCTAATGCCATGCGCCCATGCATAAAGAAACATACAGAGTAAAACTTACCTCTACACCGAATTGGCTTCCCAGCCGTTTTCCCATTCAGTGCTAGTTTCTCAGCTTTTAAATCCATGTCAGGAACTTAATACAATGCGCACAGGCAGACAAATACTTGTCTCTCCGACCTGTAGAAGTTCTATTTAGTTTGAGAGCTGAGCAGAGAAGCTCTTTTGTTATCCCATTATTACATCTCAACTTGCTAGTAAGAGTATGTGTGATCCAGGAACCTATACCCAATTTTTTATTCTTTAGCTACACTAAAAGTTTAAGTAAAGGTGAAGAAATAGAGAAAACGAGAAAAGGAAGCTGAATCTAAAAACAAAGCATGCTGCTTTGTTATTAGTAATAAGAGCAACTTAAAATACTCACACACAGGAAGATAAAATTGCTAGTGTGCATGAAATATTGATTTGAGCTAGAAAGAAAATTGCCTTGATCAAGTTTTTATTTTATTTTTAATTTAAGCTGCAGAAGTTTTACCAACATCATTAAGTCATACACATTTAACAACCAGTCCTGTTTGTATAATTGGTAACTATTGTACAGCTGGTAATTCTGTAGAGTCATTAGTACAATCTACATAGTTTTAAGTTTCTGACAATCAATATTGTCATTTGTTTTATAAAGGGTGTGTATCTAGAAAGAATCTATTGAAAAATATGCACTGCATTAACAATCAATATTTTATTTTAAATATTAACTTTCTCTGAGATGGAAATTTTATGGATGGAGAGAATGTATAACCATATATTTACTGGTTAATTTGAAAGTTTCTGAGCTAAAGTTACCTGGCTCACGGCCACCCGAGTTCTGTAAAATCCTTAGATCTTATGTGTAAAACTTACTCTCTCTTTCCAATTCAACTTATTTATCATTAAGTTATGATGAAGTTAATCTTTTCTGAAAATTTATTTAGAAACTAAGCATTGGATAACAAAAAACGAATTTGAATATCATAAAAATTTATGATATAAAGTAGCAGAATAAAATATAAATAAGTTGACTTTGGGAGAATAGTGTATCAGAACCTAAAACTCAGACCAAGGGAGTATATGAATAAATCTTTTTCAGTAATTGAGAGTCAGATAATGCCCACAGGCCAGGGTCTCATCATCATTATCAGCACCTACTTCCAACAAGTTTGGATAAAAGAAAACCCACTTCCATAAATCAAGACTGAAGGAAACAAAATGCCATGAATATAAAAAAGAAATAAAACCATATCTCAACTAAAAGGAATTGGATTAACTGTTGAGAAGTCCAAAAGAGCATAGAAATTTGAAGCTTGAGATTGTGACCCAGAAGTTGTCTTATCTTGAAATAAAGGAAGAAGTGGTTGTACCTGGAGATGCAGTGTTGCTAGCTTTGTTGACAATGGCTTCATGTGCAGAAAGTTTGGGCTCTTGAAGTGAATGTTAGGCCGGTCAATATCATCAAAAGGACAGGATGACACCCATTATTGAGCTTTGATTTCATTATTGATGAAAAAAGAGTAGAGTTTTTTTTCAGTATGTATGAAAAAAGTGTTTTATTTCAAATCACAGTTAAATTCATGAATTTTCCCTTGTTGCACTCCTTAGCCCGGTCAATATTGCGAAGAATACGGTGTCAACCTGAATCAAATATGGGAGTGAAAGTCCGAAAATATGGATAAAACCTGAGTAAAAAGTGAATTGAGAAACGGTGAATCTGGTGAGGGTGATTGGATGAACGAACACCATCCCCATCATTTCCTCCACGGCTCCACCCACCCGCATAGTATAGTACTCTACTACTCCGTATTTGCTATGGAGTACTCGTATATAATACTCCCTCATACTTTATATTAAGGAAATGAATTTGACTTCACACTGTAGTGATAATCTTTAACACTATTTTGCACTGTTTGATGTTGTTTGATATATATTTGTTTACTATATAAGAAAGTTAAAGAAGTAAGACTTTAATTTAGGGACTTCTATTTTGGGAAAGTAAGACATTCTTTCAGGGACGAAGGAAGTATTATACTTTCTCTGTTCTTTTTTAATTGCAAGGTTTACTTTTCACGTTTGTCCACACACAAGTTTGATCATTAATATCTTTCACTTCTTATTATTAAAAAAATAAAAATAAAAATCAGATTTAGAAAATTTATAATGTGCAAAATTTAAAAACATTTTTTTTAATTTTAATTTATAATACATTAATAAATAAAATATATTTAAAGTAAAATATGTGAATAGTGCAAAAAGTCCAACGATGCAATCAAACTAGAACGGATGTAGTATTTAATACGGAGTACTTCGTAATATATACGTAGTATAATTATATATTCCCTCGGCCTCATTTAGTTAGCCAACTCTAAATTTTTAAGTCTATGATGCCATATTCTGATCTATAATATATTTATACACATACATATTTATAATATGAAAATAATATGATGTTAGAAATACTATTATAAAGTATAAAATTTATAAACTTCACATAAATATACTATTTTAAACAACTGAGTAAAATTTATCATCATGGCTCATAAATTCAAAGATGACTAACTAAAATAAGACGAAAATACGATATAAAATAACTTATATTGTTTGAAAATTAGAAACCTACATACTAGTACTACTAGTGAGGCAGGGATCAAGTGAATAGGTGATTTTCACATGTTCAATTGCTAGACCTTTCTTATAACTTCGTAACATTTTGTTTTGGGAAAAGGGTCGAATAGACCCTCGAACTAACTTAAAAAGTGCAAATCTTCTCTTATATAGGAAGCTCTATCCGGATGTCGTCATTTGGGACGGTTTTTCGGGAATTTTTTGATGAATTTTTTTTAGCATCTTCTTCATCAAGTCTAATTTACGCATATCAAATTTCAGCTAAAAATTCAACCGGGAAGACAGACAAATATTTTTTTCAAGATAACTGCGCAATTAAATAGTGCAATACATTTCAGAAAATCATTTGACTGTCATCCCGGTTGAATTTTTATCTGAAATTTAGTATAAGTAAACCAGACTTAATGAAGAAGATGATCAAAAACTTTCATCAAAAGATTGTACCGGAATCCGCCCCAAATGGCGACATCCGGACAGAGCCTCCTATATAAGGGGTTATGGGTGATTTGTACTTTTTAAGTTAGTTCAAGGCAGGGATGGATTTAGGGGGGGGGGGGCGACCGCCCCCCTTGGACATTCAATTTTTTTAACCATATATGTAATATTTTCATAAAACTTTCATAATTTAATTAGATTCGCCCCCCTTAGCTTTTAATTTTCATAATTAATATATATAGTCTTACATAATGTAATACTTAATTAGAGATTTAAAAGAATAAACATCTAAAATAATTTACATAACTTAAACAAATAAACAATAGAGTAACTCGTTATTTAAGATTTAAGATACTTATTATATAAGAATTCCTAGTTTTGTAATGTTTAATTATCTTTATTAGATAACAAGTACTGGATTTCGTAAAACATATATCAAACAATATTAAATACAAGACACACTAATTACACAATTTTTAGATCACGTGAAATGAATCCAAAATATAAATATTTATAGACATTAGATTACATAATTCATTTACTTCTTGCTTTCTAAAAATATTTTATTGCATAAATAATAAACTCTAAATTATTATAGAATTAATAAAAATATTAAAATATAATATGCACCATATATATATATATATGTGTGTGTGTGTGTGTATGTGGTGCATATTATTCTAAAAATAACAATCTCATACATACTAGTATACTACTATTGTAATATTAAGAAAACTTCTCATGAGTCATGGCTCACGAAGACCCTCCTTGGTGGACAAAAATTACAATTCAATAACCGATTCATGAGGTTAAACAATGTAGAAGTTATTAAAAATGTATTGGTTGATGTCTTTGTCATCGTCTAAACTTAGAATGTAATAGATTTAAATGTCGTTCGGGATGTGCATGCATTAATGTCATTTTTTGAATAAAAAATAGCCGCATAGTCCTACAGTAGCGAAAAAAAATCGCCCCGCTATACTAGGGAAAAAAATTTCACCCCGCTACACTAACAAAAAAAATCACCCCCTACACTAACGAAAAATTTCGCCCCCCTTGACTCAGAATCCTGGATCCGTCCCTGGTTCAAGGGCTATTTGACCCTTTTCCCTTTTGTTTTTACTTGTGAAGTGTTTTTTTCTTTTTTTGCAATTTGACAATTTAGTTCATACCTTAATTACTCTGATCCATTCGATTAACCCGACCGATTATGATGGACAAGATGGACGTGAGCAATAGATGTTTGTTGCTTTAAAAAGGAAAAATGTTGTTAGGATTAAACATGTCATCCATGGCATTATTTGGGAACTATGTAGATTCTAGATATGATATCGAGGATTTTTGCGTATAAAAACTGACATGTGTGGTAATGGCTTACCGGGCTACCGGCCAATTTTGTATGGTTTGATCCACGTTTTCCGATAGTTGCTGACTTGTTGTTAGGTGATCTGTAGTGTTAGGACATTAGACGCTCAAAATGGTAAGTTTGGAAGTTTTGGACTCCTAAACTAATTTGTAGTGGTAGAGAATTAGAAGTTCAAAACGTCAAAGTTGGAAAATTTGAACTCCTAATTTAATATAGTTGTGGGTTAAATGAGAAAGTAAAAGTGAGAAAGGAAATGAATGAGAGTATATTTAGATGGTGTGTTGACAGAGAGAAACAAAAGGAAAAGAAAGAAAAACAATAGATGAATAGTTATTTAAAAAAAAGAATAGATGAATGAGATGGGGTTTGGTGTGCAGATGACGTCATACAAAGTTCATCCTTGCGTCGTAATACCTCAAATTTTTTAAAACTTATGTAACTTTTTTATTTGTTCTCCAAAAATAAAAATAAAAATAAAAATGAATTCGTGAAGCCTCTTGAATCTGACATGATCACATGAACTCAGTTTTTATTTTTTATTATAAAAGAAAAAAGAAAAAAAACGATTTAATACAATTTTTATTTTATTTTTAGAGATACATATATAGTAATCCGTAATAAATTTTGGAGATTAGAGCAATAAATTACTTGAACTCAGTTCATTATTAATTTTAAAGATGCATATATAACTATTACTTGAACTCAATTCATTTTTTTGTTAACTGATAAATGTTTAAAAAAATAATGTAATTTATACTTTTTACATCGAAATGGGTATTTAGCTATTTCACAATTAATCTATCTATATATAATAACAAAAGATTTCTTGAGGAACAAGTTCCCGCCAAAACCCATGGATCAATACTCGGTGTAATTTTAAATTCTTGGCAAGTTGGCAACGAGTGCTCTTGATAAAACCGTCCTAATTTCCCACATTTAATATTCTGCACCTAGCATGTTTAAGCTTTTGATTTCTCGATGCAACATCCAGGCCAGGCTAAACCATTTCTCTCTCACGCATTCAATATTTTCTAACCCACCAATTACAGTTTTGTATTTGTCAACTCATTTCATTTGCAACTCTTCGAATTCCAGTGTTTTTTTTTTCGTTTTTTCATTCATATAATGGTTTAGCCGCCATCAGAAGACCCCTACGTAGTTCTGCCCGAAGGTCATCAGAACTGTAGCAGTTCTGATGCGGGGTCATCAGAACCGGAGCATCAGAACCGGACGTTTATCCGCACTTCGATAAACTATCACTTCAAAACACAAATTTCAATTTTTAAAGTCAAAAGTTTAAGATATTTGCATATAAATTTTTCTTTAATCTATTAGGTTTACGAAATTCAGGAGCTGATATAGGAATTTGAGATGCTCTGAGTTGAATAACAATCATACTAGATTTAAACATTATAGGTGTTGGCATGTCCATTATAAATTTATAATACTGTTTCTACACATCATTCTATATTTTGTATAATTTGTAACGTTGTTAACCGTAAGTTAATTATAAAGTCTGTACTTTTAATGGTTCATTGTTCACTGTTAACTTTATTTAATGAATTCAATAAATTTTAAGTTTTTTATTTAATGTTCGAATGTTGAATTCAATTTATTGCTGCAATTAGCTTAAAATGAATAACGATTAAGTGTTGCTACTTTCAAAAGGTAATTTAAAATGATTACATGTTAATTAAAAAAAAATCTTTTTAATTACTAATTGAAACTGGCCACTCTAAATTCATAAATCACCTCTTCATGTGTTTTCAAATTTTAACTTTTAAGTGCTTAATTTTAGCATAAACTATCACTTCAAAACACAAATTTCAATTTTTTAAGTCAAAAGTTTAAGATATTTGCATATAAATTTTTCTTTAATCTATTAGGTTTACGAAATTCAGGAGCTGATATAGGAATTTGAGATGCTCTGAGTTGAATAACAATCATACTAGATTTAAACATTATAGGTGTTGGCTGAATATGAGAAGTGAAAAAATTGGAACAAAATTAAGTTGACATGAGCCTTAGCCCACACATAGATCCTCATCCCCTGCTTACAAAGATATTTTCATATAACATACACACAAGTTACTTGGGCTAATTATGTTATTCAGTATAAAAATATTATTTTATTTTTTCTTTAAATACACGAAATACACACAAGTAAGGTATTTTAATATTCTATGTTTCGTTTTTACATACACATATTACTTGGCTAAATATTTCGTCCGTGCATCGCACGGGTGAGAATACTAGTCTGAGAAAAAAATAAAAGGAAAACATCACTTGTACTAATTTAATTAATGTTTCACTAAATTGATATATATAAAATATGCTGAGTGTGTTTTGTTGACGATGCTGTAATGCAGGAAAAATGTAACACC